TCGAATACATTATAAATTTCTTCTGCCATACTTGAAAAAAATAACGCAATAATTAGCCAACATATCACAAACTAAAATCACTATTTAAATACTTTAATTTTTTTTTTACGTATTTAAATAAATTTTTGAAATATTAATTTTACTTAACTTACTATGTACCTTTATTATTAGTATATTTAATCGATAATAATAATTACATCTGAATTTATCATAATGAAAATGTTTTGAATTGACAAAAAGTATACTTAGTAAGCATCATGAGTTAATTTAATGAATACTGAACTAATATGAAGTGAAAAATATATGTAATATTAATTTTCAAACCAACATAATATATCTTGTTTTCATTTCAAAAAAGCAAACCAGCGAAAATTTAAATTTTAAATTGTATAACTGCACTACTTTGTAGTTTACTCAGGTATGCCTGAAGGCGTAGATAGAAAAAGTTCACAAAAGCTAAATAAACGAGGAGAGAGAAATTTTTTTGCTATAAAACTACCATTGCGCCTGCTCCTCGCGTTTATCTGACTATCCTTACTGATAATACCTAATTAATTCTAAAAAAAGTTTCGAATAAACAAGCATGCTTTTGGATTCCCGCTTTGGGCATTAACAGATTGTTTTGGTTCTCATTCCAGAAACTGCCATGGGGAGAAATAAACTAGATGTAGCAGTTTGTGACTTAGTACACTCATCCCAAATGATAAGTTGGGCAATTTGTTGGACACCACATACTGTCAGATTTTTTGCTTCCACATTGCATATAGGTCTCTAGTAGGGATCTGTAGAGCAGAGGTAACTGTAACGGAGAAATGTGTGTCATATGCAGTGTAAGAATTAGACTTATATTAAGCTATTGCCTGGAGTGGCCTTGGCACAAGACATTGTTCAATAGAGTTCTGTTGGCGATTCATTCATGTTTTTGGGGTTGGGTTTGAGAATGAAGAGGTCGTGTAATGATTTTTTAGTGGCCAATGACTCGAAAATAATTGAGCTGCAATTGTATATCATTATCTTTTATGTTAAATGTATTTGTGTGTTTCGAAATTATGATAGGCCCGGCCCCTATGTATTAATTAACTAAATTAAATGAAGCTAGTCTGTTCTAATTCTCAGGCTGTCATTTTTATATGATGCTACAAGCGTCACCATCCAGAAGTCTTGATAGCTATTCTTGACGAACAGCAAGAGCTTTTAAGGCCGATTGGGATTGAATTGCAGTGAGGATCAAATCTGTTAAAATGTTGTTTCAGTTTTATATGAGACTTAGTGGGGGCTCCACCCTTCATCGATCGGTACTCAAATTCCGCAACTTCATGAACTGTTAGCTGATCTTTTTTGTTAATCAAGGATATTTGTTCTACCACCATACTCTTTACAACATTCTACATCGCATGTTCGTATATCAAACAGTATCTGTTTCAAAGCACCATATGTGGACTTGTAGCATGGATAAATACAGAACATAACAACCTTTTCCCACTAACTGATAACATCTGATACAATTGCTGGCTGCAAATTAACTATTAAGCAAAATTTTAACAACGCTCAAATAAATATTACTACAAGATTCAACATGCCACGATGGATTGTCAAAGAAATAATTATGGAAATATTTTTCAGTTTAGTGCAATTAAAGTTTGTGAAAACATAAGGGTCTATTCATTGGTCCCCTGGATTGGGTAGACGCAGCACTTTTCCCAAGTTAAGCACGTATGGAAAGTGCGACGTCTCCCAACCCTATTCAGCCGTACCCTAGAATAATCGATGCAATCGCTGTGTAGTTGGTTCTAAAATTTTTATTGATCCAACTTGCTATATTAAAAGTCCTTGATATCCAAAATGATATGTGACCAGTAGTGGGAATAGGAAGAGAATGACCTGAATTCCTAGATGCTACGAGGTAAATCAGGAGACCGAAAATTTGTAGTGAGAAAATTGAAAGCTAAAATGAAAGTGGAACTCGTGTCAAAGGCAAATTAAGTTTAAGCGAAAAAGGCTCGTGGAGAATTAAAAAGTGAAGCAGAGTTTAAAATGACAAGCAAACAAAAAACAGTTATAAATTTTTAACTATTTGAAAAGTGATAAACTCCAAAGAAATAGTGGTAAAGTGAGAACAGGTATTGCCTTGAGAAGCTTTGTGTTGATAATATACTCTTGAAAGTTATCTGCAGAAAAATGTTAAAATTATCCCTGATATCAGATTTTAACAGCGTAGCATTCATCCCCTTCCAGTATTGCAAGACATGACGTGGCAGATTTCTTTCTGAACAGGAATTGCATGTTTCTGGGATCTAGATTCAAAATAATATTTGGATTTTGGAGCTCTATTGGTATGACAGTAATTGTTAATGGGAAAAGAAAATACCTGAAATATAGATATGAAGGTAAAATAGAGATCCATAAATTTTGAAGAACTCAAGAGTTGAATAATTTCTTTTTTTTCGTTGATGTTTTAAAAATGGTAGAAAACCTTAAACTTAAGAATCATATGATTACCTGATTATCAGTGTGCACTCGACGAATGCGAACTCAGTTTTAAAAAAATTGTGAATTTTAATTTTGTTTATACATTTCTAAATCAAGGAGCTAAAATCCTTGACCAAAAGCAAATATCCAGCTAAAGCAACTAAACTGACGACATTGGTAAATTGCGCGTTATTACAACGGAAATATAAATGTAAGGAGCTAGAATCCGTGATCAAAAATGATAATGTTGAAATATCACAGATATAAACTAACTTTAAAGCGCACCTGTGATTGAACAGAGAATATAAAACTATGTAACTGTTTAATCACTCACGTGCTTTTACATTTGGAAGATATTGCAATAAAACGAACAAAAACACAAATTCAGGTACAATTTAATGAAAGAACTAATTTTTTGAATTTTAAGTGGTGTGAAAATGGTTTCTGGCAATGATAGGTACACAAAGTTGTGGCTGAAAAACGTTAAACCACACTTTCACCTTTAGTGGGAAACAACTTTTAATTGCGTAGTTAATCCATCTAGGTGCTAAGGAACATGTGTGCAAATTTCTTTCTAATCCGTCAAGAGGTGTGGATTTGTATAAGGTTCAAACACACGAACAAACAGACATTGAATTTTTTATTTTTAGCAATCAGGACTTCAACAAAATAAACCCTATTGACTGAAAAAGTTTTGAAAACAAAATCAAAACAAAAGATACATATTATTGATTTTCCTGCTTATTTTTTTCGCGATAAACAATATTAAAAAATTGCAACGTGAAAATTATTATTCTGCAAGCAAACTATGCGAGATGAATAAATACGTTAAGATACTGCCGAAAATAATAATCAAAGTTATTCAGTTGAAGGTCATGACGTATGCTGCGCGTCCGCCAATCAAAATTTCCAGCAACGTTCCGAAGAAGTGGTGCGCGAGGAACTCGATCGAGAAAAATAACTCTCAACGGCCCAGAAAAAAATTACTTTAAAAAAAACGGGAAAAGATATTTTAACCGTTCTTGTTTTAAATCCGACAGAACCGTTCTAATTATAAGCTGAAAAAAATTGAAAATAATAGTGTTATTAGAAAGTCGGATGCAACAAATTTAAAAACAAAACTAACATTTAGATGCAAAAACTGACTATTTTTTAAAAATTTCTCAAAATTCAGTAAATTACGTTAGAAGCTCAAAACCAGCTTCATTAGAACGGAAATCGCGTGTTCTTTCCGATGATGTATCTATTTTTATCGTACAGTTAACCGAAATCATGCTATTGAGAAATTAGTGCGAAAAATCACCCAAAACAACACAAAACATTAAATAAAAAATTTTCTAGATTAAATTTTAAAATTCCGGCTCCGAGGTGCATTCAGTTACCATTACGACTTCCTATGTACCAAATTTCATGGCTGTAAGTGCGATAGATTCGTCTGGACATCGCAGACACATACACACACAAACATTGCCTTTTATAAGTATAGAAGATGAAACATGTACAAATTGTGTCTTGTCTATGCAACATCATTTAATGGGGTTTAATGAAAGTTTGACACAAAACGCTAAATATATTGTTTTTCGTTTAAACTGAGAATTCTAAACAACTTTTTGAGTGGCGGTACATAATTGGGCGCTTTGACTTAGCGCGTAAAAACGTGTAAATCCAGCCCTGTTTACAAGCCTCATTTTCGATTTTGTTTTGAAACGAGATTTTTTCTAAATAACAGTAGACGGTGAAGAGTAGTGTTCATAGTACTAGATCATGCATAGTTCACTATAGTACTCACGAAGACTTAGGGGTCTATTCTGGTACCCCCGGTTGGGGTGGGGGGCGTCACTTTTTCTGAACGTTTACAACCGTACAAAAAACGTCACGTCCCCCAACCGGGGGTACCAGAATAGACCCGTTAATTCGAGACTGTTTTAATGAGACTTATTTTATTTCTTATCTTACATAAAAATCGGCCTGGTTAAAAATGATTAAAGGAATCAGTGTTTTCTTTTTACATTTTATCTTCTTGATACGAATCTCCTGCGGTAGTTATCTCTTTGGAATCCACCATTTTTCATTTGTTTCCGAGCATCGGTGGTTCAGTGGTGGGATGCACTCCGGCGGCCCGGGCTTCATTCCCGGCCCACTCACCTTCCGTGCGGGCGGAGCTAGCTTCCCAGGCCGCTCGCATGCTATGCGGGTGGCCAGGGTTCGATTCCCGGCCGATGCAAGTGTTTCTTTTCGTTCCTCTATGTGTTAGAAAAAAGGAATTTCAACTTGCATATCATCTCATTTTTTTCAGTAATTTGCATGATGCATCTATACGGAATAAGAATTCATTTAGCCATTTTCATCAGAAAAGTTTGAAATATAAATTGTGTTCGATTTTTGTTAGAGTTTGTAAACTTGGTTCATCAAAATAATTTCATTACTTATTAGGCACACTGAAAAAAACAGTTTTAAATAGAACCAAAAAAGTTTATTTTCTTTATATTACTTTCTTTCGCTTAAACATTTCTTAGAGGCAGCGGTATGTCGGCCCATTAGCTCAGTTGATTAGGGTCTCGTACTAATAACGCGAAGGTAGTGGGTTCGATCCCCCATGGGCCAAGTTATTATTTTGGTTCCTTTCGATTCGAGCAAGATCTAGATTAAGTGAAGAAGTGTGTTCCCCCCCCCCCCCGATGTTTCTCCTATTTTGGTTTATTCTGAAATTATCAAACCAAAATATATGAATATAACTAATTTTTCATGATTAAATTTCTTCTTGCATCCTACCGTCTTGTGATCTGAATCTGTGCCATCTTGAAAATTATTTGCCTATTAGTTAAATGTTGCATCTTTTTCAGATTCATTAAAAACTTTTATGAATCAGTTTAAAGTTTGGCAATAATATAGCAACGCTTCTGTAGTTGGGCATGTGGTAACGGAGAAATGGAAATCTATTGAAGTACACAAAGTACAGGATGTCCGTAACTTACTCACTGGATTAAAAAATTCCATAAAAATAAATTGAAAGAATTCAGGTTCTGCATAGATTCATCTCTGGATAATGCGTCGTTTAAAAAAATTTGGAGCAGCTAATAGAAAAAAAATGCTTAGGTTTTACTTCCCTATTCTTTATTTCCTAGAAAATCACCCGCCATGGAATGACGGGTGCAAATTGCCTCTTCATTCGAGAGATTTCCCACCAAATTTAACGCGTTTAAATAGATATATATATATATGCGAGAGAAATGTGTAACATTGATTGAAAACAAATAAAATAAACATACGTTTTATGACAGGAAATATTTTTTTATTTACATATTTCTTTATTCAAAAAACCTCTTGGTAAACAACATTTCGTGTGAAGTATTTTTCGTTGTTTAACAATTTTATTATAATTCAATAACTATGAAATTCTCAGCTTGACAAACGTAAGTCAAAAGTTAAAATTTCAAAGAATTCGTTTTCGAAATTCTAATCAAAACAAAGCACTTCTGTGCTTGTCAAAAAATATTATCAAATTATATCATCACGATTGCAATAAGTAATCAGATGCATCGTGGCGTCCAAACTATATCACGCGTATGATATACCACTGACGTAATTTACTACTTTCTATTAAAAAACGGGAATTAATTTTAAATATATGATTAATATAATATAAAATTTCTCGGGAACTATTGATCATAGCGAGATAAATTTTATATTAATCGATAGAAAAAATTTAAAATTAGAACGACAATTACTCTTTTAAATTTAAAATTAGTGAAATTTAGGTCCTCTAATAATGAAATAATACTATTTAACGTCTCGCAGTGGTATAGCGCGAGTTTCATTGTTGGTGACGTCAAAGCGTTATCGAGAGACAGATCTGGGCTATTATATTCGTAATTTTTAATGAAGTAGCTTGTAACCCGGAAGGTATTTAACTCATTTCAGCTGGAGCAACATCGCCAACGGCAATGCAGTTTAGTTTACGGAGTTCCGCTTTGTGAGAAAATTCCACGTGCACCTCCACATACCACTAGAGACAATTTAATTTAGACTTTTGCGGAACAGAAAAATTTTATTTGATGAATACTTCGAGATGAGCGCAAAAATGCGCTCTAAAAAGTGGTAAAGTTATTTACATAAATTTTTTGGTGAGGAAGAATGGAGAAAAAACAAAAGTTTTTGTGGAGGGAAGAAAAGAAAAGTTAATGTGAATTAGCATTGCGCGATGCCTGAAAGCTTGACTAATGGGTTGAAGGAAAAAAATCTGCAGGATAAAGGGGGTGGGGAGAAAGTGATGGAGTTTGCAGAAAAAGGTGCGTAGCACACAGTGACGAAATTAGGTATTTTGACGCCCGGGGCAAAATCTACGATTAGCGCCCCCTACACCTACCCCGAACACCAACAAACAACACATAGATTAGTTTGCTTAAAGTCTTAATTAAAATCTACCGTTCTATACTGAAAAATGACCAACTCTAATTAATATGTTTGTAAGTCTATACTTATAAAAGGCAATGTTTGTGTGCGTGTGTGCGTGTGTGTGTGTGTGTTTGTCTGCGATGTCCAGACGAATCTATCGCACTTACAGCCATGAAATTTGGCACACAGGTAGTCGTAATGGTGACTGAATGCACCTCGAAGCCGAAATTTTAAATTTTAATCTAGAAATTCTTTTATTTAATGTTTTGTGTTGTTTTGTTTCATTTTTCGCACTAATTTCTCAATAGAATGGTTTCAAATAACTGTGCGACAAAAATAGATAGACCATCGGAAAGAGCACACGATTTCCGTTCTAATGAAGTTAGTTTTGAATTTCTAACGCAATTTACTGAATTTTGAGAAATTTTTAAAAAATACCCAGTTTTGGCTTCAAGATGTTACTTTTGATTTTAAATTTGTTGCATCCGACTTTCTAATAACACTATTATTTTCAATTTTTTTCAGCTTATAACTGCAACGGTTCTGTCGGATTTAAAACGAGAATGGTTAAAATATCTTTTTTAGTTTTTTTAAAATTAATTTTTTCCTGGTAGTTGAACGATATGTTTCCTCTAGCGAAGCTTCCGCCCACGACAGTCTCCGGAACGTTGCGGGCAATTTCATTGGCTGAAGGGCCAGGGTGACGTCATTACTTTCGCGTTCTGCGAGGAGATGATGTATTTACTCCATGACTTCGATTATTATTTTTAAGCGCGTCTTAACTTATTTCTTTGGCTTTCATACTTTGCTCGCGGTGTAATAAATATCACATTGTAATTTTTTAACATTATTTGGATTTAACGGTACTCGGTCGAGAGGAAAAGGAGGCGGACCAACTCAATAATATATATATATATTTCTGTTTTGATTTAGTTTTTAAAACTTTTATTATGCTTTTTCTTTTATAAAACTTTTTCATTTATGCAATTGTATGTGGGCTTTTTTTTATTTTGTTGAAATCCCGATCCCACGGGCAACGCCGTGCGCGTACTGCTAGTATTTAATAAAGAAAGGAAAAAAAAAAAAACACGTGTAGAAAATAATTTTGTTTGACCTAATACAAATACGCTAAGTCCAAGTTTTACATAGTGCGCATTAGAAATAACATGTGCAATAATATAACAATGATAATATCCTAATTAAGTGTTCCACTTGAAAAATTAATGTTTCAAACAATTTTTCAGATGGATAGGTTAGTTTACTCTGTTAACCATTAAACACTCAAATTATTTTAGTTTAATTTTCCTCTTCTTTGCTGCAAAAGTTTTTATCACATCATCGTAAGAAATCTTTGATGCCTTCTCATGTTCAATATAAATCACTGTAAGATTAGATAGGCGGTCTTGCTTGGTTAACTTTCTTAAATAGTTTTCTATGATTTTAAGTTTGCTAAAACTTCTCTCATTCGATGCGACAGAAACTGGTAGAGCCAAGTAGATTCTTAGGGCCGTGGTCAAATTTGAATAGTTTTCATGACTATATATAAATAATTTAAATAGTAAAGGGCAGTAGAATTTAGCGTACTCTTTTTTTATTCACTTCCAGCTAAATTGTCGCTACCCATTACAGAATACTTAAAACTCTCTATTTTAACACATATATTTCTTCCTTGTCCAGATCGTCTCGGTAAAAATTTGCCAAAGTAGTAGCATTCTCTTTTAAAGTTTTGTTATCAAGAGTCGTCAGTTGTTTAGGAGACAAGAATTCCGAACATTTCGTTCACTTTTGCATTGATTGGAATCGTCTCTCTAACTCAGCTTCTATTCTATCATTCACTTGCAGTAAGGCAAGTTTGATTTTTTTTATGTTGAGAAATTTCAGAGATTTCATCTTCACATTTTTCGTCAAAAAGTCTTTTCTTCTTCCTCCTTCTTACCTCCTTAAAAGACGGGTCTACATGAAGAGCAAAACAAGATTGTTTTGCTCCTTCAAGGACTTCATTCACAATTGTACCTCTACAATCTCTTATTTGTACAGTTAGTCCTTTTAAGAAGTGGCAGGCAACATCAATGGCTGTGTCCACTTTTCAAAGCATTTTACTGACGATGTCTATTTTTTTAAATGTTTTCAACCAGAAGCAAGTAAAAGCTACAAATTCAAAGGTCTCAATACTTTTTTAAAGTGAAACAGCCCCAGACTTCGTTTTAGGGCTTGATGCTGCATCTAATGATAGGTGATTCAAAGCCTCTATAATCTTGTTTGTGGACAACAGTTACAGCTTATCTACGAGATAACCACCGAGTGTCACTTTTTTTTTTTTAGTGCCAGTGGTGAAATCAACAGACACGTCTTAATTTTACGTAATTATTTAATAACATTACAACTGGTTTTGATTCCGGGCTAGAATTTAAGCAGAAAAAAAATGTAAAACATAATTTTTTTATATTTCTCAACTGAAGGAAAATTTTCAGACAGCATCCATCACAGTTCTCGAATGTTTCCTGGGGCTGGGCATTGTTGGATCGCAAACTGGTCTTTGTAACAGTTCGTTACGAATCTGCGGGATTTTATCGAAAAACCTAATAGAAGGGCATTTTATCGAAATATCTAATATTAGCACCGAAATTCTAGATTTCTATCAAACTTTCTACGAAATCCGTCTAAGGAAAGTCTATATTCGGGCAGTGGCGCCCGGTTCATAATATGATTTTTTCGCCCCCCCCCCATCATCACTAGTGATTTAACATGTTTAAACGACGTGCGGAGCATGATATTTTTTCGTCCCCTCATCGTATTTGACCTTAACCAGCGGGAGTGTTCTTCCCTAAACTTTCTCGTATACTTCCCCAAAAAGGTGCCGTTTCCCCTCCCCCCGCGTGGATAAAAAAATTCGAACCTATTGTAACCCAGGATCCAATGACTATCAGAAAATATTTAGGTAAAAAATCAAATTCGAAGAGATGCGTTCCGATTAAATGAATACCGATTTCTACTTTTTATTGGCTCAAGGACAATCCTTCCGCGTGCACAGATTGCTACCAAGTACGCATGCGCATGGAGAATCGGATGAAAAAAAACGCCAAGCAGGAGTCAATAAATATCGCGCACAGAAGATTGCGTCCAATACGCATGCGCGTGGAGATAACGGACTCGTTTGAGATGCGCTTATACAGACCGACAGACAGTCAACCCTTTGACGGATTTGGCCC